GAAAATAGGTTATAAGTATAACATTTCTCATATGGAAATATGTGGGGTCTGTATGAGTCCATATAAGGAGAAAAAAAAATGAACCTCAAATATTTTTATATATGTATAAGAGATAAATCTATCTCCTGTAACATGAGAAACAATAAACCCTCCTTTTTTATGGCAATTATTTTCCGCATTCAAGGTAAGAGTGGTAGTTAAAATCTCGATTTTACGATTTTACGATTTTTTTTTAATCAAAACGATTTCATCAAAATTCCAAACGCTTTTACGATTTTTTATCCTCCTTTCAATTTTAGATAGAATCCCGGTTTTTTTTTTTTTTTTTTTTGTAATTAAAGAGGGGCTAAGCCCCAGAAACAGAAAGAAATTACAAATTAGAAACTAACAAGCTAGACATATTTCTAGCATCAGCAACTATAAGTTCCATCAACTGAGGAGGAGGATCTTTAAAAATCTTGAAATGGAGATTATTAGTCTGCCCAGCTTTAGCTAACCAATGAGCACATTTGTTGTAAAGACGGTCAATTATAACTCATACAATGGATCATTAGTCCATTAAGAAATTATCTCACCATTACCTATATTGCTTTGATTTATGGGAAATGTAAGAATAATGTTGTAGTAAATTTGATAGATCATGTTATAGAGACATCGATTATTGTGTCTGTCTCTTTTTCTTTTTTGATTTTTTTTTTTAAATATGGGATCCACGTGAATTTGTGAATGCATGATGAAAACTTGATTCCTGCAACATGACAAATGTTATCCCCTCCATTTATACCATATATAATAAAGTTGAATGAAAGTTCAGAAAAACTTAAAATTTATTAAGCTGTGTTTAGTTTATGAAAATAATTTTATTTTTATTTTTATCAATAGAGATAGTTATACTTTACCATCATTTTTTTTTTTGTGGAAATATTCCAATCAAGTTGCAGAAATCAAGTTGCGGAGCCGTACATGAATGAATTGAATACACACTCGAAAAAGAGGGATTCCAAAGACTATAGAAATATAGGACTCTACAGTTGAGGATAACTTACAAGAATTAATTGGTATTACCTATACTAACAAGATGCATCTACTTTTCGGTATCCCAGAATGGAAGAACTCCATAGTTAAGCATGCTTAACTTGGAGCAATTCTCGAATGGGTAACTTCCTGTGAAATTTTCCCAGGAAATGTGTGAGTGAGGACAATGCAAGCCGAAAAGTCTCGTGTTAGTTTGTGGGGATAGTTATTTATTCTTGAAGCGGCCGGGCATTACATTTTCAACTGTTGATTTCAATTTAATCCAGCAATAACTAATCAGATAATAAGAGTGATGAGCCTAAAATGATGGTAAGTAGGGGAGTAAATGAATTGAGTTGAGCCAAGGTTTAGCTTAAACGAGTCAAGCTTATGAAAAATATTTTAAGTTTAGCTTGGCTCATTAGCTTGGTACGAGCTAAATTCTAGCTTGGCTTGACTTATTAGCTTGTTACGAGTTAAATTCTGGGCTTGACTTGTTTATATAAAATTAAAGGCTTGGCTTGAGTTTGGTTTGACTCATTTATAATTAGAAAATATAATTTTTTCAAACTTACATATGTCTAAATGTTGAGACTATAAATGCATCAAATTATGTATTCATTCGTGAGAGAAAAAATAATTATAGAACCCACTCCGTCCACATATATTTTAAAATCGAATAATGAGTTCTGCAATTTCTTCTTAAATATTGATACATGAAATAGAGAAAGTGGGGGAAGAATATTTTTACAAAAGTATGTAATATAGACTAACTTTTAAAATTTTTCAGTGATAACAGTTTGTAATATTAAAAAAATAACAGTTACTATGACATTTATTAAAATAACCAAACAAACCCGACAAACAATTTAATCTCATCTCATATCACCATTATTCTCATCCTCAAATTGGAACGAAGATTCTAACAATTGATATCCACTGACAATACCTAACCAAAGAAAAAAAACTACCTATTAGCACTACTACCAGACCTCATGCTACTCCAGGAAAACTTAGCATTTACCTCAAAGTCCATCAGCACCTCATATGAGCAATTTGATATAAAAAATAGGGTTAATTATTTAATGACATAAAAATGTATTATTTATTATAATAATATATCGAGTCAGTTCACGGACTTTCAAGTCAAGCCTTATTAAATTAGGATTAGGCTTGTTTGCTAAACAAGCTTTTTTTAAAGCTTAAGCCTGTTCTATTTATTAAACAAGTCAGACAAAGCCAAATTTAAAACAAGTCAAATCTTGGATCCTTGACAAGTTGCTCGGCTCATTTACACCCGTAATAATATATAATATTCCTCTTACTTCTTACCCTATATATAATAGGACCATAAACAAAAAAATGAAATTAAATACCGCTGTTTGTTGGAGTTTCTGAGTCACGGAGCAAAGTTTCAAAAAAAATTCAATTTAAATAAATCCCAAAGTTTTACACCATCACTAGCTGCAGAGGCGGATCCAGGTGTATGAGAAAGGGGGCAAGTGCTCACCCTTGAAATATGATACAAAAATACGAAAATATCCTTATCTTAAAATTCAAGTTTTCCCAATTTAATTTCGGGGTAGGATATTATAACAACCAATTAGGGTTACTATCAATGTTACTACTAATCAATTTCACCGTTAGATCGATTATGTTGATTCAACGGTTATATTTATTTCCATCTTTGTATAGTTATGATTCCCTATATTTAATACTTTATATTTATTTTTACTTTTGTATGGTTATGATTTTTCATATTTAATGCTTTTACATTAAATATGGGGATCATAACCATACAAAGATGGAAATAAATATAACCGTTGGATCATCATAATCGATCTAACGGTAAAATTGATTGGTAGTAACCCTAGTTAGTTGTTACGATATCCAACCCCTTTAATTTTTCTCTTTCTATTTTATTTTTTCGTGAGTTTTTTTTTCTCCTCCATCTTCATTATCCAAACCTAACAGCAGAGAGCTCTATTCTAGACCCATCGTTTATATCTACATACTAATTCATCTCCTCTCAAACCTCAATCTCCGTTATTGGAAGTTAGAACATTTGCTTCTTCCTCCATCATCGGTTCAGTTGAGTCGCAATTTATCCAGATCTAAATTAGACCCAGCCAGCCGACAACTGTTCATAAGTTGCGTTTCAGACTAGACCCAAATCTATATGTACTTAAAGTTATTAAGTATTAATCCTTCATTAATTTTCTGAATTCATGAGTGAACTTTGCTCTCTATCAAATTTAAGAGTGCAATAAGAATACTATAAGTAACCATCATACTTTTATTGGTTACATTATCTCTCATACGGCAGGGAAGTATATCCATTCTCAGAAAAGGATATGGCAGTCACCAGTGGCGGAGTCAGGATTGGAGAGAAGGGGGGGCGAAAATTAAATTTTTTCTTGCATAATATTAGTATTTTCTTTACTTATTAACCTCATATCTTCATGAAACTCATTTAGGTAAATTTTTTTATCAAAATATTAACTTTTAACAACATTTCAAAGACTGAAAAAATGCACTGTTGACCGATTCCAACATACATAAAAGGTAGTTTAAAGCAATAATTAAAAAAAGAAAAAAAGAGTGCCTTAACTAAAACAATGCTTTTAACTATAATTTTTTATTAAAAAAATTAAAAGACTGCAATCAAGTTGCCCCCAAAAATGAATCATTTAAGTTAGAGCAAACTCATTTTCTTTATATGAAACCATTACACAAAGAGAAACACAACCATGCAAATGAAAAGAGAGCAAAAGGGTGACAAAATGACCAAAACTTTCATTAACCAAAACATAGCATATGGAAATAAAAAAGAAAATGCATAAAAGGTTAAACATAACATATACACACTTTAGGTGAAGTGAAGGTAGATTTCAACTTGGATCTCAAACCAGAACTTTTAGAAGAAACACATTTAATAGTAACAACAGTACCATATTAGCCTTCAATTGTATTAAACAAAAATTTCATTTTTTTTGGAAGGGGGTGGCCGCCCACCCTAGCCTCCCCTGTCTCCGCCCCTGGTACATGTCCATCAAACTTAGCAACCTTTGCAACGAAGAGGAGGTAAAAACACATTAATTGAATATTATATCTCAAATAAAAAATTGTACCTAATTTTTTACATCCCAGATTTTGACAAGAGCCTCTACTCAAGAATGAGACCTTATGCTCGTTATAATGTAACTCTTCAGTACCTAATCAGTTTCATTCTCGATACTCGGATTATCTTGGACTCTCTCTCTCTCTCTCTTTCTTGCTTTTACTTACTCTTTTCCATCTAAATCCATCTTAATGTAAAAAAATTAAAATAGATATATTGATTCTAACATTGTTAAGAAGGGACTCGGATGAAAAAAAACATAGGGGATAAATAATAAAAAAGAAGTATAACGGTGTAAGTAATTCAAAGGCAAACCATAAGAAGATATTTGAATTTTTTCCTATTTATTAAATACACATCTTTGAGGAGGGGTTAGGAGTTTTAATTGTGAATAAGTCCCGACTCAAGATTAGTCATATAGCCGGCTCAAAGAGTTGAAGCTTGTAGAAATACTTGGAGACCGACCACCTCAAAAAGATAATTAGGATTGATATGCCAAAAAAATATTTAAAAATATGAATAAAGAAAACTCTATCTATTTATTAAATATACACATTGTGAATTAATGTGTGTTATCAAACATATTTTTTATCTAGAAACTTTTCGTAAGTAAAAAATAAAAAAAATGATTTCTCTACAAAAGAAGAATAATTATGATACACACCTGTATACTTTTTATTTAATAATTTTACTGTCTTTTTGAATGATTACACATGTGAAACTAGTGGGAGATATATCAGTCACGCTGTAACTTACTAAACAAACATATATGGGGTAAAAATGTGGAACTCCACTATAAGCTGATCAGTCCTTGTATAAATTATTGTGGATGCTACTCATTTCAAGTCACTAAACCAAAAAAAAGAAAGATGGCTAGAGCTAGTACCAGTAACACACCATTGTACGCTTTGCTCTTGATTTCTTGGTTACTTTTTGCTTCACAGATCCATGCCTCCTCATCAGAGGCACTTGTAAGGCCTCCAATTGTGGACGGGCTCTCATGGAATTACTATTGGTTAACCTGTCCTAGGCTTGAAAGGATTGTCAGAAAGCATCTTCAGAAGGTGTTCAACCAGGATAGTGGTCAAGCTCCTGCCTTACTCAGGATCTTCTTCCATGACTGCTTCGTTCAGGTAAAGACTACTACTTTACTACTCTTTTCAGTTAATATAGTTTTTTTTTTTTTTTTTTTCATTCAAATATATATTCTAAATAATCATTTGTCAAAGATTTATCAACTGATCATCTTTCTCACAATAATTTTTAATGTGTAAAATATATAACTCACAAGCTAAATATTTAGGCTAATATGTTTAAGATTGTGAGTTATGTTAAAAATGTATTTATTTTTATAAAATAAATTATTGATATATACTAACTGTTAATTTATGTGTATAAACAATACTTAAGTAGTGATTATAAAAAAAGGGTGTTATTGTTTCGACGCAAGAAGGGTTATTGTGTGAAAAATCTAAAATATTCCTTGAATGAATTGTTTGAATCCATATAGGGTTGCGATGGGTCGATATTATTGGATGGAACTCCAAATGAAAGAGATCAACCAGCAAACATAGGAATAAGGCCAGAGGCCTTGCAGACAATTGAAGACCTCCGATCTCTTGTCCACAGGCAGTGTGGAAGGGTCGTCTCCTGTGCTGACCTCATTGTTCTCGCCGCACGTGAGGCTGTTTCCCAAGTAACTATTTTCATCCACCCCTTTCTCTCCTTATATACGGGTAGCATATATATATCAAACAGATTGGAATGATAGAAAAGTGGTGATGTAATCATCATAATCGTTCATTTAAAAGTCATGTATTTTTTTATCTCTCATCTCATCATCAATGAATAGTTATGATAAAATAAATGATTACTTTTTCACATAAGAAGATTCAATGACGAAGCCAAAAAAAAAAGTTTAGTAATGCCAAAAGATTCGGACAGATAAAATCAGGTGGTGTCAAGGTTGTATTAATTTTATAAATCCAACTAATATTAAGGTTATATCAAAATTTAAAAAAAAAAAATCTATACTACTTTAAAAAATTAGATGGTGCCAAGGCACCACCTATCTCCCAAGTGGCTTGAGAAGATCCAAATCCATATCAAACTTATTTTAAGAGTAAATCTTTTCATATTTACACTATTTAATAAATTTTTATAAACGTTATATTTTATCAATCCAACCATTGGATTAAAAGTTCTCTTTAAGTATATTAGTTTTACAAAATTTCATAAAATTTCGATTCTAATTGATATTTCATCACACAACTTTGGATAATCATTAGTAAGATCTCTTTTTCACTTTTGTTTTCCTTCACTTTGGTTAGTCAGGAGGCCCTGAATTTGACGTGCCACTGGGGAGAAAAGATGGCATAACCTTCAGCATAAATGGAACAAACAATCTTCCACCACCATTTTTCAAAACTGGTGAACTCCTTGACACTTTTGGAGCTAGAAACTTTGATGCCACAGATGTGGTTGCACTCTCTGGAGCACACAGTTTTGGTCGAGCCCACTGTAGCACTTTCTTTGACAGGATCAATCAATCAGACCCACCCATTGAGGAGTCCTTTGCCAACAATCTAAAGGGCATTTGCCCCAACGAAGACTCCACCAACACTTCTGTGCTGGACGTGAGAACCCCCAAGTTGTTTGATAACAAGTACTACATCAACCTTCTGAATCGCCAGGGTCTCTTTGTCTCGGATCAAGACCTGTTCAGTGACTCGAGGACTAAGGAAATAGTGAACTCCTTTGCTTCCAACCAGAAACTTTTCTTTGACAAGTTTGCCAATGCTATACTCAAGTTGAGCCAATTGGATGTGTTGACTGGAAAACAAGGACAAGTTCGTGCTAAATGCTCCTTCCCAAACACCAAGAAGAAATCTTTTGTTACCTCTGTGGTGGAAGAGGTGGTTGATTTAACTGGTCAGGTGTAAAACGAACCATAAATGACCTAGTAGACTTTAATATGTTACATAAAGAAGGAGTTTCTTCCTGTGTTGTGTTGCTGGTTTCCTGACATGTTTTCGTGTCTAGTGTTTGATGAACCGTGTAATAAAAATGTAACATAGTGAACCTTAGTGTGACATATAATGCACATCATTTTGGTTTATGTCCCTTTATATTTTCTATTTATATCTTCTTATAAATTAATAATTTACTTAACCACAATTTGGGCACTTGTACCATCAGTATAGCAGAGTCTTGCATGGGGCAATTTGATTGCAATGCTGGGAGTCACTTCAACATGTGTGAAATCATTATTTCAGTTTATATATGGGAATGTCATGTGCTTAAATTTGGGATCTGTGAGAACTTTTTGTTTGTTCATGAATAAATTTGTTCCAGCACCTTGTTTATTTGGACTTGCGGATGAACTGGTTTTGGTAGATTTAGATATGTTGTTAGTGGTCTTAAGGTCTTATTTGCTCTGCATCAGGTATGAATAAGATGGTTATAAATCATTTGGACAAGCTTTTTGTCTTGAATGATGCTGCTACAATTGTAAACGAACTTGAAGTTCAGCATCCAGCTGCCAAAATTTTGGTTTTGAACCGGAAAGGCACAACAAGAGCAAACTCATTATCAAAATTTCAATCAACGGTTACATTTTTTTTTTCATATTCAAAAATAAAAAAATGTCCTTTTTCGTAATTTACACTCATTATCCCATCAATATTTTTTTACTTTTTCTGTTACTTGAACCAAACATAGATTTTCATAAATTTACATCAATTTTTTCGGTAATTTTTGGCCGTAACAAACAACTTTTTTTTCCTTTTATTACCAAACTCATTTTCCTACTATTTTTCCAGTAATTATATTTCTCTAGTAAAAAATGTGGGTTTTATAAGAGTTATGTTGTAGGAAAAGTGATTGTGTTATGTTATAGAGATTCGTTTTGCGTGCCGAAGTTTTTTTTTTTTTTTTTTTGGTTTAAAAAATTGCGAGTCCCACAAAATGTTGTGTGTAGGAAAGTTGTTGTGGTCATGTTAAATGATAGATGCAAAACCCAAAAAATATATATATCTTCTACCAAACGCTCCCTTGGAGATTTGTAGATAGAATGATGGATTTAATGTTTTTTCTTTTGTTATAATTTTTTGTTTTTACTACACTCACATAAAAATATGTGAGTCCCACTATTCTTTTCTGTTTATTCTTTTTACAATGAAATTCACTCATTTTTATTTGAATAGTAAAAAAAAAATTCTACGATACAAGCAGTAATATTTTTCACTAGAATTATATCCATAAAAAGAGAGAAAACAAGAAGTATTTTGTCATTAGAAACAGTAACATTTTTCACTAGAAATTTTTTCTCATTCTTTTTATATTTTGTTTAATTGTGTTCTGATTTTTTTTTTAAATTGTTTTATAAAATAATTATGGAAACATGTATTTTCTGTGTTTTTTTGTTTGTTTTGAAAGATAAAAATCATTAAAAAAATATAACTAAGACATGTTCTTTATATTTGATTTTAAAAAAATAATTACATTTTTTAAATTATTTTTTACAAAAATGCCTTATCAAATGATTTTTTTTTTATCCTGAAAATTTAAAAACTATTGTTAGAAACAGTATTCAAACAAAACGATATATATCCACTAGGGTTAGTCTAGTGGTGTGGGTGTGTGTAATAAGGTGTGTGTGAGTGTGTGATTGTGTGTTCTATTCCATATAACCTAAAAAAACAAAGCGATATATATTTACTATGGGCGGCATCCATTGTATTTCCAAGACATCCTTTCAAATCACCAGTGGCTGCTTTTAGAAGCACAATTTGGGTGCCACGAGAGTAAGGATTCTCTTATAAAAAAAATAAAATAAAAAAGATAAACATAAAAATAAAATTAGTATAAATATGTTATTCTTTTTATATTAGTGGTTGGTGCATATATGATACCGAAAATATTTTGTGCCTTTATGTGACTTATTTTCCCCGTACGAGAATATATAGACATTTTTATTCCAAAAAAAAAAGAATATATAGACATTTGCAGACATGTACGAAGCAAAATCAAAGTTGTCTGCTTATTACTTAGGGTCCGTTTGGATCAGTTTTTTTTTTCAAAAGCTACTTTTTTTTTCAAGAAAAAAAACGCTTTTCGTTTTTAGTTCGTTTGGATGTCTGGTTTTGAAAAAAAGGAGAAGTCACAAAAAAAGCCAAAAACTTACTTTTTCCAGAAGCTAAATTTTTTAACTTCTAAGAAAAGAAGAAGTCAAAAATCAAATATATTTTTCAAAAATTAAATATTTTTATAAAAATATAAATAGCTTTAACTTTTGTAAAAAATGCTTTTAAAATAAGGAGGTGATAAAAGTTACTTTTTCTAAAAGCTGAAACAAACGACCTCTTATTACTTTTCAATGATTACTTTTTGACTTTAAAATGTCAACAATTCAAGGCGAAATGATGGATCTGAATCCTCTAATGTGAAAAATCACATGACTATTGAAATCATAACCATACAAAGTAGATCAATGGTAATAAAGGAGGAGAGAGAAAATATATTAAAATAGGTAGTTACAAAATCATAACCGTTGATTTATCTTTGTATGGTTATGATCTTCTCACGTGACCATGTCATTTTTTTTCACATTAGAGGATCTATTTCCGCGAAATGATAAACTTTAGAGTAACATCATTTTTGATTTCTAACAAAAAAAATAATATTGTATTCACCTTAGTTTCTTACAAAAAAAAAATAGTCTTGAGCTCCCTAACAAATTTAAAGTGTATTCATTTAGTTGAAATTGTGATTCCTTACAAATTCAAAAAAGATCCATATTTATCTTTCAAAAAGACTAAAATATGAATTTATAGGGATCAACAGACTAATTTTTTTTTTGTAAACGACTAAAGTAACTATCGTATTTTTTTGTTAGGGATCCAAAAGGATATTTAAAAGACGTAGAGTCTGAAAACAGTGTTGGATTCATTAATTCAAACAAAGAACACGGATGTGATTTAAAAAAAAAACACTGATGTTAAAATTATGGTATACGATTATTTTTCTTTTATATATATATATATATATATGTGTAAAATTATTTATGTAGCCGCTTTACATACAACAATGACAGGTGTATGGTTATGATTCTTCACATTTAATACTTTTATCCTTTGTATGGTTATGATTCTCCGTATTTAATGCTTTTAAGTATATATATATATATATATATATATATATATATATATATATATATATGGAAAAAATGTTTCTGCAGTTAATGCAGATAACTTATCTGTATTTACTCCCAAAACGACGTCGTTTTGATATTGAAATCTTAAAAAATTGTAAATATAAAGACAATTATAACTCTGAGATAAATTTATTTTGGGTTTAATGTTTCTATGAGATAAATTTATTTTTTATATACACGTAAAAATGTATAGGACTTATGTGAGGAGAAAAGAGAAAATATTTTATGAATATAATGTTTCATCATAAAATATTTCATGAACTTCTTATATCATATCATAGACACATAAACGTTATGAGTGGCTGAGTGCCATTGTATAAAAAAAAAAAAAATTTAGAATGTGTCTCATATCTTTTTGAGTACGTAAGAAAAAGGAATTATGCCATGTAACATGACACTTTTATTTTTCAAAGAAAAAAATGAAAAAATATGAATTTCACATATTTTTATACGTGTATAGGAGATAAATTTATCTCCTATAACATAATAAACAATAAATCTATTTATTTTGCTAGTATTGAATGTAAATATCAACAATAAAATTATTTTTTGATACAAACACTAAGAAAGAGATCAGTTTCATATTTTTTTTCCAAAAAAAAATAAAAATGAATAGAACCTATTCATAGTACTCTTCTTTTATATGAAATGAACAAAATACTAGAGTGCAAAATTTGATTCTAAAGCTTGAGAAAATATATTCTTAATATAGTGAAGATAGAGAGAAGGGGAGCGGGAACGAAGCCAATACCAGTGATAATACACCGTGCGAATTATTTATCCAACCCCAGACAAGGGTTAGCACCTGTAATTTGGTATATATACAGCGGACATATACCTAACAATAAAAGGTCTTATCAGTACAATGTTTCAAGATTATTTGCGTCCGAGGGTTTTTTTTTTTTTTTGGATATTAAAAAAAAAAATTGATGTATAGGTAAGTTTATTTCATATTCATTAAAAGAAATTGATAGAAAAGGATTGCCTGGCCATCAAAATTGAATTGTTTTTTCTTTCTCTTGTTGTAGACATCCCACTTGGTTCTTATTTCTGTGCTTTTGTTTTGTAAAATTCAACAAGGGTATCCTTGACAGTGGACACTATTCTACATTGAAACGCGCTTGCACCAAAAGTCTAACCTCATCAGCGGGGTCCGTGCTCAACACGTGACTATTTACCTAACCTTGATACTATTCAAACCAATTTTCATCAAATTACCCAAATATCTTAAATGCTCGTCCTCTTTTGTCGTTATATAGAGATTTTTTTTTTTTTGTAAATAAAAGTTTAAGCAGGATTAGACATCGATATCTCACTAAGGTTAGGGAAGACCCCAACCTCTTTGAAGATTTCTGAGAGAGATTATATACCACTTACCAATAAAGTCCTCACATCAGCCAACGGGATTCAAACCCACCCCTTGAGGAATATGGACCAAACCCTTAGCCAACTGTGTCGACTTTTGTTCGCTATAGAGATTTTTTTTAGTAAAAATCTTAAGGTATCCCCATTATTCAATTTTGTCCTGCCATTTTATTTTTAAAATACGGCCTCAAAGATTACCTTTTTATTGGTTGGAACAAAAAGTATATTGGACTATATTATCAAAAAAAAGGATGAGATTAATATACTATCGAACCCTGAGCTAGTCAATTTATGAATATATTCACATGATAGACTCCACGAGAATTTATGAATGTATTCACACTTGTCATGCATTAGTTCATGTACTAAAAGCCATCCCTTTCTTATCTATAAATACTGTAGATGCCTTTAACATCTGAAGTCATTACCTTCCTACATACGATCATGGCTTCTGCTTCTCTTAGAAGTGCTTTTTTTACCTTTATTCTGATCTCTACCTTTTTTTGGGTTTCCCACGTCAAAGTATCCGAGGCACAAGCCAAACCTCCTATAGTGAAGGGACTATCATGGACCTTCTACGATTCAAGCTGCCCTAAGCTTGAGTCTATCATCAGAAAAGAGCTCAAGAAGATCTTTAACAAAGACATAGGTCAAGCTGCTGGCTTGCTTCGCGTTCACTTCCATGATTGCTTTGTTCAGGTAAAGTGGTAACTTGTAACTTTTTTCATAGCCATACTAGACTAGAAGCTCACTTGATCGTGTCAATTAAGCAGTCTTTTCACTTATTATTGTTTCCTTTGTTAGTCTAATATAAAATTATTAAAGTGGCATATGATTGTTTAATATTCTTAAAAATCTACAGCATCTATAATATTTAACATAGATATATATATTTACACAAAAACGGGAATGAATTCTTTAAAATTTTAAACAAGTATATCTCATTTATGAACATTATAAAGATTTTTTTTGTAAAATGTGAATTTTACTAATCAATCGTTATATGTTAATTATGCATATCAAATTTATACTGTCTTGTATCATTAGGCCAAATAATTATTGCCATTAACAATAATTAACAGTTGGTTATATTTTGAAAACAGATTTTAATTTGCATAGCACACATGTGCGATATCATGGATTAATGCTAAATATGGTTAGTTATTAATGAGGTTAGAATTTTTATTTTATTTTATTTTTTAATTACAGGGTTGTGATGCGTCGGTTTTATTAGAAGGATCAGCAAGTGGGCCAAGTGAGCAAGATGCACCACCAAACTTGACTTTGAGGGCCTCAGCCTTTAAGATCATAGAAGACCTTCGTAGTCGTGTAGAGAAGAGATGTGGAAGAGTCGTTTCTTGTGCCGACATCACTGCCCTTGCTGCACGTGATGCTGTTTTCCTCGTAAGTCCCTACAATTTCTTATCAATATTTTTCTTTGGATTAATATTGTCCTATGTATGATATTTTTGTTAAATAAATTGATTACATATTATTACTTTTTCTTATTTCAATAAAATAATTATGGATTTAATGTTTTTTATAGAAAATAAATTTATCCTTTACACATTTTTAAGCCTATATTTTCTCTTTCTCTTTCTTCTTTTTATACGAATCTCACATACTTTTATGTGTGTAGCAAATAAATTACACGAGAAACATTAAACTCTAATTATTTTTCAATTATAACATATTTTACAATATAAAAGCATAAATAATGGAAAAAAGTTTGTCCTTGTAAAGGATGATCCTTTCAGTTAAAAATAGTGTTTTTATTTAAAATTTAAATTTAAAAAAAAAACTTCTCACTCTCTTCCCCTATAATTTTCATTGTCTATCTCTTTCTTTCGCTAAAAATGATATAATTTTATATCCTTTAAAAGAATAAATATTGATCCAAAAAACAATATGATAATTGATAATGTAAATAGTGTTTATTTATTTATTTATGAGAAATATTATTCTCATGTATTTCATGCACTCACAAATCAAGGTGAGACCCACTTTTTATTTTTTTCTCTCCTCTAAATTGCGAGTGGATGAAAAAAAAAAATTCTCTCATAATAATATTTTTCTGAGTAAACACCCTTTTTAGTCCCTAGCAATATCTACGCAGTCCTTTTCAGTCCCTGGCAATAAAAAAGGACCAAATTGGTCCCTGAAAGTACAAGAAAAGGGCCACTCTACATATTTGGAAGTTGACATAAGAACTAACATGACCCTTTTTTTGTAATTTCATGGACCAATTTGGTCCTTTTTTATTGCCAGGGACTAAAAAGGACTTCGTAAATATTGACAGGGACTAAAAATGGTGTTTACTCTATTTTCCTTTATTTATTTCACACAGATATTTAGAAATCTCTCTCTTTTTTGTGTATGCATTATCCAATTTCTTTTTTCTCTGTTGCAGTCAGGAGGACCAGAATATGAAATTCCCTTGGGAAGAAAAGATGGATTAACCTTTGCCACAAGGAATGTCACATTGGATAACCTTCCATCACCCACAAGCAACACCACTACCATTCTAAATTCTCTAGCTACCAAAAATCTCAACCCCACTGATGTAGTAGCCCTCTCAGGTGGCCACACCATAGGCATAGGCCACTGCAGCTCTTTCACAAAAAGACTCTACCCAAGTCAAGACCCTGTCATGGACAAAACCTTTGGAAAAAATCTAAGACTAACTTGCCCCACTAACAACACAGACAACACCACAGTGCTGGACATTCGAAGCCCCAACAAGTTTGATAACAAGTACTATGTTGACCTTATGAACCGCCAGGGACTGTTCACCTCAGACCAAGACTTGTACACTGATAAGAGGACCAAGGATATTGTAACCAGCTTTGCTGTGAACCAGAGTTTGTTTTTTGACAAGTTTGTGACTGCCATGCTCAAAATGGGTCAGCTTAAAGTGTTGACTGGAACTAAAGGGGAGATTCGTGCCAATTGCTCCGTGAGGAATACAGATAACAAATCCTTCTTGACATCCATAGTGGAAGATGTCGTTGAAGAATTGATAGAAATGTAACCCTGTTTTCTCCAAGTGAAAGTTTTTCACTTGCATGCTTATAAAGTCAGGCAGTTTGAAAAAATAAAAGCTTGCACTGTATTTATATGTTTTGTGAAATATGTTAATAAAAGTTTGGAATTATAAATGTGGTTAAATAAGTCCGAGTCATTAAATCTGAACTTGATGATTTGAATAGACAACGTCTTAATAGGAGAGGAATCAGGTACCCCAATTGGAAAAATGAAAATAATTAAAATATTTCACAGAATAGACATATTAGGCACTATAAAAAAGGACACATGCTTTCCCATCTAGCACTAATTAAAAAGAGAATTTGACACCCGAATATTATGAAAACTGAGAGAGAAACGAATATGGCAATCGATTAATTATGGGGAACACCGAACATATTAAAATAACATTAAACTAAAAAGAGTTACTACAACATGAAAAATGGCACAAAACCATAAAAAAGCATCTAAAGAACAAAACATAAACTGAAAATCCACCCGCCTGGCCCCATTAAAAAAATTGAGTAAAAATTGAATTGAGACACTAATTTATATAAGATTTGAGACAACCAATAGGGTAACAGCTGGTTAAGATTTCACACACACTCCGCACATATACATACACACACAAAAGCAAAGTTAACATGTGACTCAGCCCGCATACCAGTACAACCTATATAATAGTGTAGCCCATGTACCTGCCATCTCTCCAAACACAAATCACATATAGAGATTATTTTGTGGGCTTTGGCTTGATACACACAGCCCTACAAGCAAAGTTAACATGTAATTTAGCCCAGATACCAGTACAGCTTATATAATACTAGCTCGAGTTATTTAAGGGTGTACAAGATAAATATCCTGTTTATTAGCATTATTTTTGAAAAAAAATAATTTTTTTTTATTTCTGTGTCTTGCAATAGTTTATGAGAAAAAAATATGTTTGATAACATGTTATATTTTTATTCCGAGAATGAGAATTGCATTTGATAACACAACAAATAATATAATAAAAAAAATAATTCTATTAAGCATAAAACATTTTTGGATCATTACTTTCCTTTTCATATAGTGTGGTGGTGGTTATGGTGGCAGCGGTGGTGGTGGCGGTGGCAGTAGTGGTAATGGAATGGTAGTGGTGGTGACGGCAATGGCTGCGGCGATGGTAGTGGTAGCGATGGTGGCAGTGACAGTGGTGGTGACAGCAGTAGCTGCGATGATGGTGGCGGTGGTAGTGATAATGGCATGGAGGTAGTTATAGTGGTGATGGTGGAGGTGGTGGTGATATTGGCGGTGGCATCGTGGTGCTGGAGGTGATGACGACACTAGTGGTACGACGATGGTGGCGGTGGTCGTGTTGGGATGATGGTGGTGGTGGATAGAGCTGGCAAAATGGGCCGAGCCCGCCGGGCCGGCCCGCCCCGCCCGCCAAACGGGGTGGGGCGGGCTGAGTTTTCTAAACCCGCTGTCCGCCAAGCCCGCCAGCCCGCCCGGGCTGTTTTTTTTTTTTAATTTTTAGTGTAAAATGTGACGGGCTTGGTGGGCAGCCCGCCCCGCCCGCCCAAACGGGGCGGGGCGGGCAGAGATATCTAGCCCACCTTCAATGGCGGGGCGGGGCAGGCAGCCCGCTTTGCCACCTCTAGTGGTGGAGAGTGATTAAGAAATATAAGTATTTCTCGTTTTGTGCCCGGGAATAAAAAAAATAGATTTTTATTTATTTATTTTTCTGTTTCCCAGCACAAAAATTAAACCGATTCATCCCGGAAACAAAAAAATAAACTGGTTTTATCAAACGAGTTTTCTATCCATTTCTGTTCCCGAGAACAGAAATTAAAAAAAAAATCGATAAGATTGTCATGCACACCCTAAGTGTGATAAAATCTCACATTGGTTAATAATAGACTGAGTGAAGTCTATACAAGTGGGATAACCCATGAATCCAATACCTTAAGATTTCGGATTGTTATATGTTGTTGGATCCACTTGGTGTGGTTGGTCTAGCTTAGTTCATTGATAATGGTCCCCTACCACGAGCTCCTCCTTGACCCGCCTAATAGTGGTATCAAAGCCAGGTGTTTGGCAAGAAGTGGGTTGAGTTACTTGGGCCTGGGGCAAGCGGAGAGGAGGGGAACATACCAATGTTAGGTTTCACACTTGAGGGAGAAATTATTGAGATATTCAAATGTGTTAATTCCCACATTGGTTGGTAATGGGTTAAGTGAATAGTATATAAGTGGAAGGACATATGAACCTAATGCCTTAAGATTTTGGGTTGTGATATGGTGTCGGATGTAATGCCCCGTGAGCTCCTGGTTTGTTAACATCAGAATGGTATTAAGGCCAACTAATTAATCAAATAAATGCAAAAACTAATCATCTTAATTCATAATTAAACTCATGTAAAAACGTGAATAAATTTTTTACATTCTATATTAATTTATAATAGTTACTTGCATGTCAAGTTAATTTCATTATATATTACTTGTTCTTCCAATTATCTTATATATTAATTAATTTCGTGCTTAATTACATACTACTTGAATTATGAACTATGGGAGAATGCTTTTCAACGTATTGTCTCAGCAATTACAGACCCTAGAACGTCCAATCACATTTAGTTTATGGGAAATATTACTTTCATGTGACATGAGAGAATAGAGGAGAAAAAAGTGGACCCTAATCTTGATTTGTGAGTGCATGAGAGAAAAATTATCTCATGTCACATAAGAGTAATATTTCCCTTATTTTATTTACATTAACTACCCTCATTTTTTTAACATTTATTAAGGCACCATACTTTGCAGAGATGGATTTAAGCCTTCCATATTTAAATTCCATAAGGTCTACAAGAATTTCTTTTTAAACGTTTTTTTACTTTTGTTTGCCCAGAATATCCGGATATTTGTCGAAGACATATCCGGATATGCCATATCCGGATACCTGATATTCAGATATTTCAAGACAGTGGCGAAATCGAATATCTCTCTTTGGGCTGAGGGTTTAGCATTCAACCCTTTGCCCCATATCACTTCATCTTGTACTTGATTATCTTTACCTAAGACATACAATAAGTGTCGACCATATATGAGGTTTAATTAAGCTATCTAGTACCTTCCTTGGCACCTAAATCATCATATCTAAAGGGAGTTGATTAAGTGATATATGCATACATCTTGGCACCTAGCAATCCGTTACTTAGGCCATCTCACACAGGGTTGGCAAAATGGGCCAATTCGACTCGACCTGACCCAATCTGTTTGTAACCCTAAAAAAATAAGTCGGGTTAGGGTTGGCTCGAAAAAAAACACGAGCCAAAATCCAACCAAACTCGACTCTAGCTGGGTTAGGGTTGGCTCGAAAAAAATGTGGAAAAAAATAGCTTAATCAAACACAATTTCTATACACTTTCGAAAGCTCTTATGGCATTTCTTAGAGACAGATCCTTTGTGAAATGAGAAAGCTATAATAACATGGAGTCACGTTCCCACATTCCTTGTGTCACCATTTGACTAACTTCCATAGCAAGAAGAGCCAAACTCAGCCAACCAATGCTCGATATTACATCTACCATTGCCTGAAGCAAAACATTAGCTTTAACATGCAGATCTATCACTTTGGGGTTTTCAAAGGAAAATCTCTGGGGACTGATTAACCTACGAACCACTTCTTCCTCCTCGGGTCGTATTGGAAGCTGAGCATATTCTGAAGTAGATGCAAGAACCTCCAAAAGACTAACCTATAAATGTCCATGTAAGATAACTGAAATTAATAAATAAATAAAAAGGATAACCCACGAGTTGACCTGTTTGACCTGTGGGTTGGCTCAATTTTTTTCGAGTTGGGTTGGGTCAGACTGGTTTGGATTGTCAGCTCATTTTTGCCAACCCAACCGACTTATTTTATGTTGGTTATGAGCCAACCCGACGGGTTGCCTCATTTTTGCCATCCCTTATCTCACATAGACATCAAATTACAACTACAAATACTCAATAACATAAACTTATGCATGTTCCTTGATAGAAATAAACAAGCTTGTTCCATAAGGCATAGACAACCCCTACGCTCGTCCCAAATACAAACAACACATTGCATGTAAAAAGGTAATCATATCTTATACTAGTATATAAACATCAATGCTAGCAATGTATGTCTCATGTCATGCTAGAATCTCTACGCCGACCTCTTGCCTTGAGATGCATCAATATCAATAATCTCAGTACCTGAAAAATATTCCCCAAACGAGGAGAGATTTTGACAAATCTCAGTAAACTGGGGTTCTCAAAGTATTACTCCGTCCCAAGTTCACTTACATATATAATAAGTGCAACAGAATAATAAAATGCATAATGCTGGATATATAGCATGTAATATTTACAATATCAATATCCACTGACCAGAGACAAGTATGGATTACGCACGTTTGTAACATACTAAAAAATATATGAGGATTCCCCTTGTATCTTACACCCAAGGATGTTGTCTGCATATGTAGGACACACTATCATATCCGCATATATATCAACACATTATGCCACAAATCATTTTCACACACACACATATATATATATCAGTGCATAAAACATTTTCTAAAAACACATCATGCACATAACAACCTCTTATAGAGTTTTATGGAACAAACAGAGATTAATCCTGAGAACCGAAAGCTTTAGCAACATACTCTAATGTAATCTCAGTATCCAAAGGACCATAATCATAGGCGCTCACAAAATCATAACCTATTTTAAAGATGTAACGAAAATTAACAGATATACTAGTTTATGACGTTCATTTAAATATTTTTACGTAGTCATTCTTTACATATAGACACCAACTTAAGGTGAGAGGTAAGTTCACTCCCTAAGAAATCATTTTCTTGAAGAACATTCCAAAAACACTAACTCTGATTGTGAATACTACATCAAACCTTGTTTACCATTTTTAAAACTGGTATTGCATATCTTTACCAAAATTTTTAAGATTTTAATATGTTAAACTAGACATCTCAAGCTTTCTAACGACATATTATATGTCTCAATTGAAGTGTTATAACTCCAGTTATGTCTTTCACAAAGTGACAGCGGCAAACTGAATTTTCAACAACCAAGTTGCGACTTCAAACTTAAACTGCGGTTAATCCACTTACCCAATGGCTATG